GAATGGCCACAAACACAGATCTTTTCCAATCAGTTGGCCAGATAGTTGTCCAAATTTCTTGGCATAGATGAGTGAGTGCCTCCTGTGCAGCCTCACTTTCTTGAAATATTTCCATTTTTATTTCATCAATTCCTGGTGCCCTGTTCTTTGCCAATTCCTTCAGTGCAACTTGGACTTCTTCCTTCAGTATCATTAGCTCTTGATCATATGCTACCTCTTGAAACGGTTGAACATTAACCATGTCCTTTTGGTATAGTGACTTGGTGTATTCCTTCCATCTTCTTTTGATGCGTTCTGCATCATTCAATAATTTGCCCAGAGAATCCTTCAGTAACAAAAGTTGAGGTTTGAATTTTTTCTTTAGTTCCCCCAGCTTGAGAAATGCTGAGAGTGTTCTTCCCTTTGGGTTTTCTTTTTTTTTTAAATAAATGTTTTATTGTGAATTGTGTGATAGTCTACATGGGAGAACATTAGTTTTACATTCATTCTATCATACATCGTTTCATTGCCATAGTTACGATCCCGTCCATGTATACCTTGCAAGCCTGCTCCCCCCTCCCCCGCCCCCCATGGGCCTCAGCACACAGCCCCTCTCCCTCTCTGGATTTCAAGTCCCCAGCCACTCCATCTTTTCATGTCATCTTCTCTGTCTCCATCTCAGGCCTCACTGCTTCTCTGGGTAGGGTCCCGCTCTCCACTCTTCTCCATTGGTGGTCCCAGGGCCTCTGCTCCTAGACTGAAAAGTTAATCACGCTCCTCCTTGCCACAAAATGTCCACCTTTACTTTTCCAACCCTCACAATCAGTCCTGATAACAATTCTTCACTATTGCAACACTAGAGACCCATCTGCATTTCATTTCATCAGCCCTTACTGGATGGGCTGGGTACTATTCACTGGAGACTCTACCTTCCTCCACGCCCTTTGGATCTAGGTTCCCTCTTGACAGCTTGTAAGCCAGTCACTTCTTACCTTTGTAATCCTCCCCCATTTTGGGTAGCCAATGTCCAAGTTGCCCATTCCTCTCTACTCTTTGTGTGGAGGGGGTGGGAATAATTCTTGCCACAGGGATTTGTTTCCTCTTTTGAGCTACTGCATTTATAGGTGTAGGTCAAGTTTATCAAATTGTATCAGATAACGCTTTTTTCCTCTTCTTTCTTCTTCGGATTGAGCTCTGTTCATCTAGTCATTGAAGCCAGGTCAAGTGGGTATCATCTGCAAGTGTGGGTGTTCTTGTGTCTGTCCGCCCTCTTCTTATCAGCTGGCTGCTTTGCTCTCCACTCTAGTCCTCTGTGGCTGTGTCATTGACTCTGAGCCCATAAGTCCCCAGGTCTTGCCTTGCTGATGGCTGACCAGGTCTCCACCCCGGTTCACAGTAGTCTGCTGAACGATGTAGGGTTTAGCTCACTGCTTCATTGATGTTCTTTGGTCACTTCCCCTTATGGGTGATGTGAGTGGTCGCCAATCAGAGTGTGTATTTCCATTGCATCTTAATCTTGAAAGAGGATTTGCACTGAGAGGACACGACCACCCCTTTTGGTTTTCTGACTCTAGATATTTGCACATTTTGTTGTAATACTTGACTTTGCTTTTTCGAGCTGACCTTTGAAATTTTCTGTTCAGCTCTTGGACCTCCTCATTTCTTCCATTTGCTTTAGCATCTCTATGCTGGAGAGCAAGTTTCAGTATCTCTTCTGACATCCATTTTGATCTTTTCCTTCTTTCTTGTCTTCTTAATGACTGTTTGCTTTCTTCATGTATGATGTTCTTGATGTCATTCCACAACTGTTCTGGTCTTTGGTCTTTAATGTTTAATATATCAAATTTGTTCTTCATATGATCTCTAAATTCAGTTGGGATGTACTCAAGGTCATATTTTGACTCTCATGGACTTGTTTTCTTTTTCTTCAGCTTCAGTTGAATTTTAATATGAGCAATTGGTGGTTTGTTCACTACAATCCAGGATTGTTGTTGTTATTAGGTACCATCGAGTTGGTACCGGCCCATAGCAACCTTATGCACAGCAGAACAAAAACACTGCCAACCTAGGATTGTTGTTGTTGTTGTTAAGTGCTCTCAAGTCAGTTTTGACCCACAGCGACCCTGAACAGGGTTTCTGAGGCTGTAAATCTTTACGGGAGCAGAAAGCCTCTCTTTCTCCCGCGGAGCAGCTGGTAGTTTTGAACTGCTAACCTTGCGGCTTGCAGCCCGATTCGTAACCACTATGCTACCAGAGCTCCTTAACCCGGTTTTAGTAGTTGGAAAATATGGCTTTGGTGATAGAAATGATGCTAGATATTACATGATAAAAATTTGAAAGACCAATGAGTTATTATTTTATTATTTTTAAACAACATATAACATGATTATACACATGGGCCTCACCAGATGGAATACACTGGAGTCAAATTGACTATGTATGTGGTAGAGACTCATATGCAAGTTCAGGTTGAAGTTGAAGAAAATTAAAACAAGTTTGTTGTTGTTGTTGTTGTTAGGTGCCATTGAGTCGGTACCGACCCATAGCAACCTTATGCACAGCACAACGAAACACTGCCAGATCCTCGGCCAACCTCATTACTGTTGCCATGCTTGAGTCCATTGATGCTGCCACTTGGCCAATCCATCTCATTGGGAGTCTTCCTCTTTTTCTCTGACCCTCCACCATGCCAAACACGATATCCTTCCCCATCAACTGGTCCCTCCTGACAATATATCCCAAGTATGAGAGATGAAGTTTGGCCATCTTGGCCTCTAAGGAGCACTCTGGCTGCACTTCTTCCAAAACAGATCTATTGGTTCTATGGGCAGCCCATAGCACTTTCAACATTCTCCTCCAACACCACAAATCAAAAGCATCAATTATTCTATGGTCTTCCTTATTCACTGTCCAGCTTTCACATGCATATGAGGTTATTGAAAATACCATAGCTTGAATCAGGCACACCTTAGTCCTCAAGTTGACATCTTTGCTCCTCAACACTTTAAAAAGGTCTTGTGCAGCAGATTTGCCTAATGCAATACATTGTTTGATTTCTTGACTGCTGCTTTCTTGAGTGTTGATAGCTGATCCAAGAAGAATGAAGTCCTTGATAACTTCAATCTTTTCTCCATTGATAAGAATGTTGTTTATTGGTTACCAGAGTTAAATATGACCTTGAACACCTGAGTTTATAGATCATCTCAAGAGTAGATTTGATGCATTAGCCAGTAATGAACAAAGACCGTAAGAGCTGTGGGAAGACATCAAGAACATTGTAAGGGATCTATATTTGTGCCTATTCCAAAGAGAGGTGAGCCAATGGGATGCAGAAACCATTAAACTATGTCATTAATATAACAGGAAAGTAAAATTCTGCTGATGATAATTAAAAAATGGCTGCAACAGTACATTGACAGGAAACTGCCAGAAATTCAAACCTGATTCAGAAGAGGACATGGAAACAGTAATATCAATGCTGACGTCAGGTGGATCTTGGCTGAAAGCAGAGAATACCAGAAAGATGTTTACTTGTGATTTATTGACTATGCAAAGGCTTTTGACTGTGTGGATCATGACAAGCAACGGATAACTTTTTGAAAAATGGGTGCTCCAGAACACTTGATTGTGCTAATGAGGAACCTTTACATAGACCAAAAGGCAGTCATTTGAACAGAACAAGGGAATGCTGATGGATTAAAATAGGAAAGGTATGAGCCAGGGTTGTTTTTTTCATCCTATTTATTCAATATGCATTTTGAGCAAATACTCTGAGAAGCTGGATTTTATGAAGAAATTGTGGCATCAGGACTGGAGAAAGAGTCATTACAATTTACAATATGCAGATGATACAATCTTGCTTGCTAAAAGAGGACTTAAAATACTTACTAATGAAATTCAGACCACAGCCTTCATTATGGATTGTAACTCAATTTAAAGAAAGCAAAAATACTCATAATTGAATCAATAAATAATATTATGATAAATGGAGAAAGGATTGAAGTTGTCGATGACTTATTTTGTTTGGACCCACTATCAACCCTCATGGAAGCAGCAGTCAGTAAATCAAATGACGTGTTGCACTAGGCAAATCTTGTGCAGAAGACCTCTTTTAAAGTGTTTAAGAGCAAGAATATCAATTTGAAGCCTACGTTGAGCCTGACCCAAGCTATGGTATTTTCAATATGCACGTGAAAGTTGGCCAATGAATAAAGAAGACCGTAGAAAAATTGATGCATTTGAGTTAGATGTTGGCAAGAACATTAAAAGTACCATGGACTACCAGAGGAGAAACAAATCTGTCTTGTAAGAATACAGCCAGAATGCTCCTTAGAAGCAGTGTTTCCTTCTGCTGTGCACAGGGTTGCTATGAGTTGAAACCATCTTGCACGGCACCTAACAACAATTATGTAGTTAGGGTGGTGGTTTGGCTCTGTAGTATAAGCACTGGACTGCTAACCCACTAGCCATTCCTCTGTAACGTTATGAGTCGCAATCGACTCAACAGCATTTAACAAGTTATGTAGTTAAGTAGATCAAAGGCTTTGGTCTTTATCTTTTTCTCGTGAGATCATAAGACTATTATTTAAGCTCTCAGGGCCTCATCCAAGAAACGGAAATCTTATTACTTCATATGGTTGCTGTAAGGATGATGTGAGATATTGTCTGCAAAGTACGAAAGAATGTCCAGCACAACCGAGCTTTACTTGCTGTAGTGCACATTAAGCAAATGACACTTTTATTTGCACAGCTCATTCGTCTTCCAATCATAAATCTCTAGACATTTTGACACTATCCCTTAAAATGGTCCCTCAACGACCTGCTGCCACAAAGCACCACGCTCTTTACGACAGCGCTCGTCGCTGAGCCTGACAAGCACGCCTAGTTTGGCGGTGGTGGGGCCTAGGCGGCGCGGGCCAATCATGCTGTCTATGGGTGATGACGTCCTGCTACTCTTGTGCATGCGCAGGGCGGGGAGACCTTGGTGAGGCGGTGGAGACGCTCAGCGGAGGTGAAAGCATTGGCGGAAAGGAAAGTACAGGGGAAAAATGCAGAGCTGGAGTCGTATGTACTGCGCCCTGGCCAAGGTGAGGGCCGACTGGGTAGGGTTGTGCAGAACCACAGGTATAAAGAGGTCTGCAGACGGGGTCGGGGACGCGGAAAAACAGCTGTTCGTAGTAAAGGCCGGCGGCCTGGCTGGACCAGCCGGGACCCACCTTTTTCACCGATTCCGCTCAGGCCGCTGCCGGGAGGAAACGGCCCCTTTTTCGGCCGCGGGAGGACGGGACTGTGGAGAGTCATTGTGGCTATCAGGCACACACTTCATTCCGAATCCGAGCCGAGGGACAGGCCTCTCCACCTTGGTGGAGGACGTATGAGCCACCTTTGCCCCGTTTGGTCTGGCTTTACACATCCAGCCGTTTTCCTGATCTGAATTCCGGCCCCGCAGGGAGTGGGTAACTTTTGGTCATCTGTTTGAAAGGCTCAGACACAACCAACCCCGACAGATAGCCCGAGGCATTCTCTAAGGTCCTTCAGTTTCAAACTAAGCTATCACTCAAGTTACCCAACAGACAGGCATTTAACCGCAAGGTCGATTTTTGAAATCTACCAACCGCTCCTCGGAAACCCTACACAGGGTCGCTATGAGTCGGAACCGACTTCATGGCCCTTAGCAACAATGATCAAGACAACTACAGGCACATTGTATGTATGAGATGGTGGCTGGGTCCTATATTGAGGAAGACGTTGCAGATAGTACAGATACCAAACTCCATTATTTCAAAAATAAATAGCAATTGGCGTTCCAGAAACTAGCATGCTGGAGATCAGGCTTTTAGTGCCAGGCAGAACTGCTGCCAAACTCAGGACTGCACTTAAATCTGCTGTTCAGACCACAGGTACAAGAGTTGCCTTAAGGTAAGAGCAAAGAGCATTGCTACATCAGGGCAGGTTTTGTCATTCTCTCCTTTCACTTGCTGTGGTAGGACTGCAGGCTACTCTGCTGTCTAGAAGTAGGGTGTTCTCTGAATCTTTTGGATAACTGAAATGATGTAAAACCAAGAGGCAATCACCATTAATTTATATGGGAAAATATTTTGAGAACAACTAGACCCAAAAGATAATCTACCAAATAACACGTAAAACCTAAAATAACATGAGCATGCATGTTCACAGACATAGTTAAAAACTGTGGTGGCTTGATGCAGAGATGGCGAGGAAGGAGCTTGGAGGAGGTGCCTTGGTGTGCCTGTGCCCGGCCTCTTTAATGGCTTGTTGCTGAATTTTGTTTTTTTCCTAAAGTAAGTGTCTCTTATTTGCAAAAGTGGGAACTAACATGGGTAGGTACAGAAAGAGCACAGTGACTCCATACAATAAGCACTGGACTGCGAACCACAGAGTCAGAGGTTCGAGCCCACCTGCTGCTCTGCAGACGAGAGATGAGGCTTTCTGCTCCCACAAAAAGATTTAAAGCCTCAGAAACCCTAAAAGGGTCACTGTGAATCGGAACTGACTTGACAGCATTTAACAACAATGATGGGTGGGCAAAAACAGGCACTAATATAGGTCTTTGTCATTGTAAAGTGCAGTTGAGTGGGTTCTGACTCGTAGCTACCCCGTATAGGGTTTCTGAGGAACCCTTGCCGTCCACTGCTTACCCTAATGTTCCACACCAGGGACTCCACAATATGTGAACAAAAGGTGTAATGCAAACTTTGAAAAGTGGGGAGAGCTGTATTTATTTTGATCCTTTGTGCCTCACTGTTCTTAAGAAATGGTTCCCATCCATATTTAGAGACTGTTGTAGAGTCTGTGATGCCGATTATAAAACTAATAGTTCCAGATTATGAGTACATTACTGAATATATTTTCCTAAATTCCCTTGTCTTATTTTCTGTTCTTAATGGCTAGGGAGCAAATTCATATATGGTTCTAGGTAAATCTGGACTGTTCTTACATGGTAAATTAGAGTTGGGAACAATAAATACAAATACAAGAGGATTGTCATAATGTGGATTATTCAGGCTCTTAAAACCTAGAACCTTTAGAGCTTTTAATTATGTCATAAATGTGATCACTGGCACTGAAAAATTAGCCATGCTTTCTGAAAACTTAATAAAACTTACACATTGAATACATTTCTTATTAGGGCAAATATAAAGTGATTTATTGAATATTTATAAAAAGTGTGACAAGCTGAGACTAAGAAAAGTTAAAATGATTATCGCTGTTAAAGAGGAGAAATTGGTAATCTCTGCTACAATGGAAGACAAATGAGCATTCAATGCATACTAAGTTTGCCTAAAATTGTATTTTCATTAACCTATAGTAGTTGTAAAGGAGCTCCGGTAGCGTAGTGATTACGAATCGGGCTCTAACCTCAAGGTCAGCAGTTGGAAACTACCAGCGGTTCTGCGGGAGAAAGATGAGGCGTTATGCTCCTGTAAAGATTTACAGCCTCGGAAACCCCTGTGCAGGGTCACCATGAGTCGGAACAGACTCCACGGCACATAACCATAGTAGTTGTATGTTTTGAGTTCAGATTTTACATAATAGGAACTTAATTTTCTCTCCTAGAGAGGCCATTTCGGCCGAATATCTCACGGCCTTCCGGGAGTTTCTGCACTGCCTCTGAGAACATATGCAGATCAACCAAGTAAGTGCTTTATTAATAAAACAGATTTTTTTCCTTTGTGTTAAGATGAAAAAATAATGTGAATATAAGAATGGTTATGGTTGGTGGTGTGCAGTAGAGTCAGTTCTGACTCATAGTGACCCTGTATTACCAGCTGTTCTGTGGGAGAAAGATGAGGCTTTCTGTTCCCACAAAGATTTACAGCCTCAGAAACCCTGTACAGGGACACTATGAGTCGGAGCCGACTCCACGGCACATAATCCCCACCACCACCATAGGATTTCCAAGGCTGTAACTGTACAGGATCAGAAAGCCTCCTTTTTCTCCCGCGGAGTGACTGGTAGTAGATTTGAACTACTGACCTTGTGGTTAGCATCCCAGCTCGTAATCACTACGCTCCCAGGGATCCTTGACTGTTAGGATGACCAATAATAAAGTATCAAGTCTTAGAATTCATATGTTCTTATATTCATTTGAATGTTTATTAAGCACATAGTGTTTTCCTGGTAGCAAACAAGGCAAAGTCCTGCATTTGTGGAACTTAAGAGTTTCGGGATAGGAGCCTAACAGTAACGTAAATATTTTGGGAGGTGATAGTGAAAATTAAAGCAGGTTTGTTGCTGTTGTTAAGTGCCGTTGAATTGGTTCCGACCCACAGAGACTCTGTAGGGTTTCTTAGGAGCGGCTGGTGAGCTTGAACTACCAACCTTGCAGTTCAGACGGCTTTGCAGTCTGACGCATTAACCCACAGCACCACAGCAGCACTACCAAATAAAGCAGGTAGGTGGGAGGAAATGAGATTAGAACTCTTTTCTGAGGAGAGCGCCTCTGAGCAGGGGCCTGAATTACGTGAGATAGTGAGGTTGTTTTGACAATGAGACGGGTCTGAGTGGGGGATTTGTTTGTGAGGTTTAAAGAATACCTAGAAGACTGGTGTGGCTGGGGCAGAGACCCACAGAAAAGAAAAGCACAGAGGTACACTGGGGTTAGATCATGGAGAGCTTTGTAAGTCAGACAAAGAGTTTGGGTTTCACTCTCAAAGTGTTACGGGAAATCACTGAAGAATTTTGAGCCAGGTGAGTGATTTTATATGCTTAGATTTAAAAAAGTTAATTTTTTCCATCTGGTAAGAGTGAACGTGTTGATTGTTTTAACATTGATTAGAATAGTAAGATGACGTTAGACATTGTAGAGGAAAATCTTGACGTTTATCATAAGCTTGTTTTTAAAGATTAGACGGATGTACTTTGAAAAGAGGCTGTTACGGATATGATCTTTTCTTTCTAAGCTTTTTTAATATTTTTTATATTTTCTATAGAGGATATAGGAGTCCTGGTGTGGCGCTGTGGGTTAATGCGCTAGACTGCAAAGTCAGTTTGAACTGCAAGGTTGGTGGTTCAAGCTCACCAGTTGCTCCTTGGAAACCCTCTAGAGGGTTGCTATGGGTCGGAACCGACTCTGTGGCACTTAACAACAACAACATAGAGGATATATGATTTATTTTTTTACATTTTGAACAGGCAGCTAATGGGCTTTTAATAAGATATTTTGGAATCTTAGTACAGGATGAGTGCCCATGAATAGTGTAGAAACGGTTCATGTGCCTGACTGCTGAGGTAGAGTGAATTTACTCAGTATGTCTCTTCTTTTCTAGCATGTTCTTTTTAACGCCCACCAAATAATTGGGTGTGACCATGTAAATAGGGTGCACTGGGTTCCAACGTAGGGATTGCTTAGTTCTGCCATCTAGCTAGGTTTAAAAGGAACCATCTCTGAAGCAGAAACACATGATCAAGAAAGAAGAGCCACATTCAGTAACTAATGAATTACAGTTGTGAGAAAGCTTAAGTGTAGGGAGCTATGAAGTCTACATTTGGATTAGGAATGATCACAGACTTTTTCCTAAGGAAATGATGCTGATACCTGAAATGGGTGAAGCTGGGAGGGAAATGGGTGATGAGAAAAGGTGTTCCAGGGAAAAGGAATGGTATGGGGGAATATTTTCGTGAGGGGCGGAGCATAGTGCATATGAGATACTGAAAAAGGTGTGGTGTGGCTGAACCATAGTAAAGATGGATAGCTAACCTCTCCAGATTATTGAAGACCTTAACTCTCTATTTAACAGAAGTTCATTGATTTGTTTGCTGTATGGTATAGTATGGCTATGTGCTGTGGAGTTTGTTTCAACTCATAACGACCCTGCATAGGGTTTCCGAGGCTGTAAATCTTTACGGGAGCACAAAGCCTCATCTTTCTCCCACAGTATGGCTGGTAGTTTCAAACTGCTGACCTTGAGGTTAGCAGCCCAACTCATTTGCAGTATAGAATACTGTAATTTTTTTCTCTCAGACTGTAAGAACCAGGGCTATTTAATGTACTCTGGTAGCATAGTGGTTATGAATCGGTCTGCTAACCTCAGGGTCAGCAGTTCAAAACTACTAGTTGTTCGGTGGGAGAAAGATGAGGCCATCAAGATAGTTCTGACTCGTAGTGACGCTGTATGGGGTTTCCAAACACTGAATTTGAACCGCTAACCTTGTAATGCAAACCAACCTTGCTGTCCAGTGTTTATTCTATAGTAACACACCAGGACTTCAGAATGTATGGGTAAGAAAACATAATAATGTGGATGTAGTGTAGTGGTTACGAGTCAGGCTGCTAACCTCAAGGTCAGCACGTCGAAACCACCAGCTGTTCTGTTGGAGAAAGATGAGGCTTTCTGCTCCTGTAAAGATTTACAGCCTTGAAAACCCTGTTCAGGGTCGCTGTGAGTCAGAACTGATTCCATGGCACATCACCACCACCACCACCAAGCTAATTGTAATTGCTGAAGTTTAAAATGCATAGTGTTGGTGGGTAAGCAGAATGTAGTAGGAGATACGGCTGTAGAAATAGTCATGAGGCGAATTGAGCATCCTGCTTCCATCACTTGTCATACTGTGATGCCTTTCATGTTATGATGCTGGAAGCTATGCCATTGATATTTTAAATACCAGCAGGGTCACCCATGGTGGGCAGGTTTCAGCAGAGCTTCCAGACTAAGACAGACTAGAAAGGAGAGGCAAATTACTTCTGAATGTTTAGCCACTGAAAACCATATGAATAGCTACAGTGCCAGAGTATGAAAACATTATAAATAGCACCAGAATATTGTCAGATATAGTGCTGGAATGAACCCCTCAGTTTGGAAGGCACTCAAAGAACAGCTGGAGAAAAGCTGCCTCCTCAAAGTAGAGTTGACCCTGATGATGCAGATGGAGTAAAAATTTCTGTACTTTTATTTGCTGTTGGGTCACAACTCAAACTTAGGAGAACCAGCTGCAAACATCCATTAATAAGCAGAACATGGAACGTACGAAGTATGAATCTAGCAAAATTGTTTAAGTGCTGTCAAGTCGATTCTGATCTGTAGTGACCCTGTATAGGGTTTCCAAGGAGTGCCTGGTGAGCTTGAACCACTGACTTTGTGGTTCAAACTAACCTTGCAGTCTAGGGCATTAACTCAGCGCCACGAAAATTGCCAGTTGTCAAAAATGAAATGGAATGCATAAAGATAAGTATCCTAGGCGTTGTTACTGTTGTTAAGTGCCATGAGGTTGGTTCCAAATCATAGTGCCACTGTATAGGGTTTCTGAGGCTTTAAATCTTCACAGGAACAGAAAGTCTAACCTTTCTTCTGCAGAGCATCTGACAGGCTCAAGCCTTGTATGTTATTGTTAAGTGCCATAGATTCAATTCTGAATCACAGTAACATTGTACAGGGTTTCCAAGGAGCAGCTGGTGGGTGTGAACCACCGACCTTATGGTTCATAGTCCAGTGTTTATCCTACAGCGCCACACTGCAATGAACTGATATTGGCCATTTTGAATCTGACAAATCATATGGTTTATTATGCTGGGAACAATGAATTCAAGAGGAATGGCATCACATTCATCATCAAAATGAATATTTCAAGATCTGTCTTGAAGTAGTGTCTAATATAATATCCATACACCTACAAGGAAGACCAGTTAATACCACTATTAATTCAATTTTATTATTCATTATTTGTGCGCCAACAACTAAAGCCACTGGTGATGACATACAAGAATTCCAGCAACTTCTGTCTGAAATTGATTAAATATGTAATCAACATGTATTGATAATTACTGGTGATTATAATGTGAAGGTTGAAAATAGGAAAGATCAGTAGTTGAAAAATGTGGTGTTGGTGATAGAGATGATGCTGGAGATCACATAATAGAATTTTGCAAGACCAAAGATTGACTCATTGAAAATGTTGCTGTTAATTGCCTTTGAGTTGGTTCTGATTCATGGTGGTGGTTATGCGCTGTGGAGTCGGTTTCGACTCATAGCGACCCTGTACAGGGTTTCCGAGGCTGTAAATCTTTACAGGAGCAGAACGCCTCATCTTTCTCCGTGGAACAGCTGGTAGTTTCGAACTGCTGACCTTGAGGTTCACAGTCCGATTCATAATCACTAAGCTACCAGAGCTCTTTTCTGATTCATAGCGATTCTATATAGTGTTTCCAGGGCATGGCTAGGGGGTTTGAACCTCTAACCTTGTGGTTAGCAGTCCAGTGGTGTCTATACACCTGGGCTTCAACAAATGGGAGACAGCAGAATCAAATTGACTGTCTTTGGGAACAGATGGTGGAAAAGCTCAGTATTATCAACCAAAACAAGGCCAATGTCTGACTGGAACAGACCATCAATTGCTCATATACAACAACTTCAGACTGAAGCTGAAGAAAATGAAAACAAGTCCATGAGAGCCAAAATATGACCTTCATCATTTCCCATCTGAATCTATAGACCATCTGAAGAACAGATTTGATTCATTAGACACTCAACAGTTAAGACTAGAGTGTTGTGGGGTGACATTAAGAACATCCTACAGGGAAGCCTGGTAGAATAGACTCACACAGACGTCAGGAAAGGTGAGATTTCTTCCTTTCCCCATGCTCCATAGCTGACCAGAGATGTGACCATTTCCCACCCTCATCTACCCCAGTGCAGA